CTTCTCTTCATAACAGTGAACTCCGAAGCTGCTGTCTTGTTCCCAGAACATGGAAGTACGGAGTTTAAATAGGAACTGTGTTACATTACCGTAGAGGGAAAATATTTGGGTGCCTTGAAAAATAAAAGGGGGACAAGCTTTTATATCGCTGTCATGAGAAATATCAAAGGCACCAAGCACAGCAGGCTCTGGAGTCCTCTCTCGTTGATATTGGAAATATATAGAGGGATGAATGTTTGTGCTTTGTATTTCTGTTTTCGTTGGCAATTGCAAGTACCGAACACAGGATAGGTGAAGGGTTTAGATACAATGACTCCAGAGCCCTTTGGCCTAGTTTTTCTCCTGTGTGTAAGTCTTTCTCTGTCCCACAATTCCTTTTGATACCAATTATACTGTTGATTGACTGTCAATGGTATGGACCCATACGGGTAGGCCGTCTAGCTTCATTTGTCCTATTTTAAGAACACATTATAAGTTGTCTCAGTTGGTGGTGTCTAACTCTCCAACTTCTCAGAGAGAAAATATTAACAGGAATCAACTCTGCTTATTTAACAGGTCAAGTTGGTCTCTGGTGTCCATGGGGACGCTTGAGGAGAAGCCGATTGCATTGAGATGTGTGGAAACAGGATCAATAATGCTCAGTAACTGAGGAAGATTACCAGAAGTCGACAAAGTCTATAAGAGGGGCCATGCAGATCCACACCCGGGACTGTCGACACTTGGCGGGTGATGGAGAAAGTCTAATTTTGGCCAAAGATGAATCACTGTGCGTGGCTGTCACACCTCCTTTCGCCCTGTTCCATTTTTGGATCAGGATAACTTGCCCAGCAGAGACTTGTCTAATTTAAATCCTGACTTACCTGAATCAAAATGAGTCAGAACTTGTAAACAAAACCTGCCCCAAGGACAGGAGCTGCCTCGTTCTCCTCATAGACTCTCTTCTCAGAACTGAGTCCTGTATCTGGTGTGTGTGTCAGGGAGAAGATACATAGATGCGATAGGACTGGATTTAGGTGGCCAGGGGAAGAAGAAACATCACTAAGTTAGAGCGTTTTCCTAGCCAAGAGGATACAGAAGAGGCCACTTAAGACTTATGACAGTATTAATAGTCATGTACTGATTCTTTAAAAGGGGAGAGGACGGGGGTTCCAGAGACAGCTCAGCCCCCAGGAGCATTTGTTGCTATTGCAAAGGACCCAGGTTTGGCTCAAGAACCCAGATGGTGGCTGGCAACCAACTGTAACTCCAGTTCTAGAGGAGCCAAAGCTTTCTTTTGACCTCGGTGGGCCTCGCGCACATGTGGCGTATGTCCACACATGCAGGCAAAACACTTGTACATATAAAATACACTAAATAATTAAAAAAATAATTTTAAAAGCAGAGAGTTACTCAGTGGGTTAAAAGTGGACGAATAAATAAAAAATTCTAAGAGGACATGAACTTGAGAGGAACATGTGATATGAAGTCCTGGGGGAGTAGGAGGAGAGGAAAGAAGGGGAGTAGATATGATTAAGATACATTATATACATGAATGGCATTTTCTAAGGCTAAATAATGAAATTAAAAAAGGGAGAGAATGATTGAATTTCTAAACATTGGCCAATAGCAACAGAGGGTGTACATATGTGTGGTCCCTGACCAGATTCAGTAGGCCCCTCCCTCCAGTAAAGATGGCTGAGAGGCTCTCTCAGATAAGATGAGCTGGCATGAAAGAAAGAGATAAGCCCATCTTCCTGGAGGAGCCTCAGACCAACTGAGCTACCTGCAAAGGGCATGCTTCAGCCCGTTGAGCTGTCTGCAGGTTGTGCAGTGTGTTTGAGGTTTTCAGCTTTCATGAGCTGTGATCAATGGTGGGAAAAGGTTTGGTGATGCAGCTGTCTTTACAGTTCTGCTCCTGTAAGCAACCCCCAGTAAAACTCATTGGTTCACCAAGTTGGACTTTGGTGGTATCTGTACCTCGGTCTCTTCTTGATTTCCTGTCTTACATTAGTAGATGTTCATGTCTCCCCAGGTATAGTGTCTTACAACAGTGTCATAGTTAACTTTAGCTATCAACTTGATAAACCAAGAGTCACTTTGGAAGAGGGAACATCAACTGAGGAACTGCCTAGATCAGATTGTCCGTGTGGTATTTTTCCTTTTTAATTGATTTAGGAGGGCCCAGCCTACTATGGTGATACCATCTCTAGGAAGGTGAAACTACAATGTGTAAGAAAGGTAGCTGGGCAAGCCAGAGGGAGCAAACCAGTATTCAGTTTTCCTCTGTAGGATAATTTCTTTTGGGCCACCAACCAGATCCCAAGTCAACACACGGAGACTTAATATTGGTTATGAATGGTCAGCTTTATCTAATGCTTGTCCGACTAGCTCTTTTAACTTAATTTAACCTGCTTCTCTTCATCTATGTTTTGCCTCAGGGACTTTTTACCTTTCTTTCTTTCTGTATGTCCTACTCCATGTCCTGCTGGCTGGCAGCTGCCTGGCTGGCCCTGAGCATCTCCCTCTTTTTCTCCCTCCTCTCATTTTCTCTCTTTTTTTTCTACTTATTTTTCTACTTATTCTCTCTGCCCACCAGTCCCACCTATCCCTTTACTGTCTAGCTATTGGTTGTTCAGCTTTTTATTAGACCAATCAGATGCCTTAGGCAAGCAAGGTGAAACAGCAACACATCTACATAATTAAACCTGCACATCACAAACAAATGTAACACATCTTTACATAGTTAAACAAATGCAGCATAAACAAATGTAACACATCTTTGCCTACTGAAAGTAATATTCCACAACATTCCTTCATGGACTCTGCTTCAGTTTATGCCTCCAGATTCCTACTTGAGTTCCTTCCTTGATTTACCTTGATGATGCACTATAAAGTGTAAGCTGAAACAAATCCCTTCCTCACCACATTGGTTTTAGTTAGTGTTTTATCACACACACACACACACACACACACACACACACCAAATAAAAAACAAAACAACCCCCCCCCCCAAAGAACTATATAGCAAACTAATACAGGGCTTGTTTAAATCTTAGTTGATCTGAGGTCCTAAAGAATGCTTGAGAAGCTGGAGGTGGCTCAGCAGTTAAGATTTTGTGTTGCTTTTCCATGGAGCATCTAAGTTTGGTTCCAACTGACCCATGTTGATGGTTCATAATCTTCTGTAACTACAGCTCCAGGGGATCAGATGGCCTCTTCTTTTTTTTTTTTTTTTTTTTGTTTTGTTTTGTTTTTTTTGAGACAGGGTTTCTCTGCATAGCTTTGCGCCTTTCCTGGAGCTCACTTGGTAGACCAGGCTGGCCTCGAACTCACAGAGATCAGCCTGGCTCTGCCTCCCGAGTGCTGGGATTAAAGGCATGCGCCACCACTGCCCAGCTCAGATGGCCTCTTCTGACCTCTACAGGCACTCACACACGTGTGTAACCCCCCTCGATTTACATATAATCAATAATTAAAAAGAAATTTAAAAAGAATGGAGCAAAGCTTTTTAAAAGCATGTCCTTCCTTTTGTACTCTGTGTGGAACACTGAGAAAAAATGTGTATAGAAGTCTTGATTGCAGAACACGGAATTATTAGGGTGACTAAGTGCATAATTCTAGCAAAACTCAGAATTTCCCAGTTAGGATTTTATCATGCAGCACTGATCCTGTACTGCCATTGCTCACCACATTGTTGCTGGCCTAGTACAAGTTGAGGATGTTCCCAGAGCACTCACGTGGCACTCGTACGACCTCTCCACAATTTTGACTGCAACACTCATTTCCAATAACCATTTCCTGACTCTAAGTCAACAGCAAAGATCATTTTCTTGACTCCCTCCAACCCTTTTATGTCATGGACACCTGATTTACTTTGTTCTCTGATGGACTTTCAAGCACAGTAGTGTTCTATGCTTTGCTGACTCACTGGCCTATGATTTCCAGGTCCCTAAGTCTAGCTGTGGTGACTGATAACTCACAGGGCTCCAGCTGATGCTTCTTCTGCCACCTAATCCCTAAACCCTGAGAGCAAGGGACAGTGAGTGAGAACACACAGTATTAGGAGGGAGGCCTGAGCAGGCCAGCCCTCTCCACAGCTTTCAGTCAGCCTCCCACTTTTTTGTGAGTAGAAAGCAAAGGAGTCAAACCAAGGTGAAGATGGCAGCCATTACTGTACCATAACTAGTCTCATGAAGTCATTACACATACTGTCATTCTGTAGGAAGTGACCCCAGGAACCTGGGCAAGGAGGTGCTGAGATAGACCTCACAGGGTGTGTTATACTGAGCTAGACCACACAGGGTGTGTTGTGTTGAGCTAGACCTCACGGGGTGTGTTGTGTTGAGCTAGACCTCATGGGATATGTTAGGGATACACTAGCCAATACAATGTCAGTTTAAGTTTCAGTTTGGAAGTTGTTTTTTTGCAGATGATCACGCTGACTTCTGAAAGACAGAACATCTTTAAAAGGCAACAAACTACCACTTAGCAAAAGTAAAGCCATGACAGATGTTTATACAAATAGTAAACTCAGACAGACAAAATATTGACCTTCCTGAAGCTATGGATAGCAGCTCTACTTTGCAGAGAAAAACAGACAGACAGACAGACAGACAGAGGTGTTCTGTGGTTTCGCCTTCAATTTCTGTCTTGAAACACATTTATTGGGAGCACAGTCCTCTGAGGAAGGTAATTTGCTTTCCTCTCCCTGGCGAGCCAATTTAGTCTTTTCTCTTTAAGTAAATATCACTTTCTGAAGGCTCCTCGCTTATTATCGTTTTACTTATAATATTGAACTTTCTGATAACTGCAAGTGATTTTTTTTAGCATCCAATTAAAAGTTGAGGCTACTAGGGATGTTGAGAGCAACTCTAAATCTGCCAAGAGGTGGACAACATTCATACTTCTTGGTCTTTACAAAACAAGAACCGAGTGTGCAACTGTGATATGAGTGTGAGCCAAGTGTGCACCGGTGACATGGAGTGTCAGTGTCTGTAATGTTTTATTTCTCTTCCTATTTCTTCCTGTATTGAACCTAAACAACTTGAACAGCTCATTTCCCCTCCTCTAAAATTTATTTTATTTTATTAAAAAAAAAAAAAAGAGGAAGAAGAAACAGGCAAAAAGACAATTTCTTTTCATTACCCAGGAAGTAAAGAAATTATGTTTATATGTTTATTAATTGTAATAGTCAGGTTAAAGAACGTTTTACAAAAAGTCCTAGCATTGCACTAAAGTGGTGGGAAGTTCTTTTTCTGTGTGTGTGTGTGTGTGTGTGTGTGTGTGTGTGTGTGTGTGTGTGTGTATAAATGTTGAATAATCGTTGTGAATTACAAATCAGTGGAGTGGATTTGTAATTAAGAAATTCACCTGGAAGTTTCAATATTTCACTACTCATCAAAGTACATGTTTGTCTACTTTTTGTTATTCCAGGAATATTATTGGAATAAAACTCCCTGTTTTGAAGTTAATAGGAAGCAGACTAAAGGTAATCTTCAACAAGTTTACAGAAAATAACATCTAAAATACTCTCGAAGCAGGACAGCAAGATGACTAAGGTCCTAAAGCTGCTTGCTGCCAGGCCTGGTGACCTGAGCTTGATCCTGGAACACATATGGTGGAAGGAGAGAACCGACTCCCACAAACTGGGTCCTGAACTCCACATGTGCTCTGCGCGCACACATGTGGAGATATTTTATTTACGCTGAAATGTGGTGATATTTTATTTGTGCTTTGATAAATGAAGCTTGCCTGGAGATCAAGGGGAAAAGGTCAGTCATTGAAAGTAAACAAATTCAGTCAGCACACACCCTTTATCTGATCACTTATCAGGCAGAGTCTATGTGTGTTCAAGGCCATACTAGGGAACAGAGCCAAGTGTGGTGACACACGCCTTTAATCCCAGTACCAAGCAAAGAGACCTGGAGGTCTGTACAGACAGGCAGTGACGAGGAAGTGAGGTAGCTGGGTTAAGAGCCAATGAGAGGACAGAAAAGCAAGGCATATAAAGATGTGAATAGTCAGGAAGTAGCTCGCATTTGGAAGCTGCAGAGTTGGTGAGGTAAGGTTGGCTGGTGGCTATTCCTCTTGCCCTGATCTCTAAGGCTTTCACCCCTATATTTGGCTCCGTGTATTTTATTTAATGAGACCACTTAGAAATTCATCTACACACACATGCACACACACATACACAAACATGAATAAATAAATATAATAAAAAATTTAAATGCTCTCTAAGGTTCCTTCTAAGGAAAAAGATATTAATTTATCACTTTTTATATGTATGGATTTATATATTATTTGGGTGCTAGGTTTTCCTGTGATATTATTTATTATATGTAAATTTGTGGGTTATATACTTCCTATTACAACCATTACAGAAGACACAACCAGCTGCTGCTGCATTTTTGTATGCTTGAGTATT